ATCATTGGGAAATTCGAAGAAAATTGGGCGAATCACAGTACCGCCGGACCGAGATGCTTCGAAGTGCAACCTGCAGAATACTTTCGCTATCAAACAATCGCAATCTTGATCAAATATTCACATTCTACCGTAGAAGAACGTTTCAGTGTGCTGTAAACTAATCGCTTCAAAGGAGGACATCAAATTCATCGAATACGTAATCTGGATTCAACTGAAAACCATCACAGCAACTGATTATTAAGAGTTGATCTTGATGACTATCAGAACTGATCATGGTTACTATGAGAACTGATAATGAGCTCTCTAATCCATATGATAGAATGAATACTTACAGATAAAGATACGGCAAGTACTCATATCTGAACAAATTCGCTTCACGAGTAGCTTCTTGAACGCTAGGCCACATAGTGGGATGTTGTGGCAGTGCGGCTTTGTCATTATGATTTCTGAAATTTGGGTACATTCGTTTGAACGATTCGATCGAGACGATCGTCGTATGTTGTTTTTAGAAGAAACATTTTATCGAGGCATATTTTCAAGGGAACTAGCTTTCGAGTTCCAAACAAAGAATGTCAACGGGGCATTTGAACAATTTCAGTTATTCACCGCCGGAGTTCAGCTAGTTGAAAACGTTAAATTGTCAAGTCGTTAATGAAATCATTCCACCTTGAGAATGGATAGAAAGCTCCAAGTTGTTGCCAACGAAGACACAACTCTTCCGTGGTGTTGCCAAGAAAACCACAAATATCAGCTCCAATATATGGTACACCAAAAATGTTGAATTCTTGAATACCGATGACCGACGTCTTAAGATCAGACCAACTCGCCGAGTTATCTCCAAGCCAATGACCAGCGTAGTGTCCCGCTGATGGATATGAGGATCTGGAGTAATTCGTTCATGTGAAATAGACCATTACAAATCGTGATTCAGTGTTCTGGCAATAGTTTCACTGTGTTAATGCATATGATTTAGCAATGAGAAATACAATATAACTGCAACGTCCATCGCTGATAATCAGCGTTGTGAATTTTCAGTAAGTTGGTGACAGAAGAGTTCTTTATGTATTCTTCTATGTCCTGTAATTGATCGGTTTGGCAGGCATCTCCAAGTGATACATTCAGACTCATGGAATATCATTACGGCACTCAAACCTTTGATTGCGAGTCAGATGGACAGTAAAAACGGTCAGTCGAATCACCGAAGAGGTGTTCTGACCTGGTTATGACAGCACCACGCTTGGAGGTTGC